CTCACGTCTTCCAATTACTTTGTGAACATCTTACTGATTCAGATATGATCTATCCTGTTCTCTGTGGTGTGGTCCGGCGAGATCCATGTGACTGTGTGTATTCGTTTGTGTGGAAATATTTTGTCGTATGTAACTAATTTGTTGAATGCACATAGATTTTCAAATCTGTCACCATTCTCATTTCTTTCTCCTAGTCGATTTCGTCCTATGGTATCTTCATATCCAGTATTGTACACTTCAACTTTGGTATTTAGGTCTCCCATCAGGATGTTGCGATCCTTTCCTGGGCACTTCGCTATGATGTCAATAAACTTAAAAAAGTGGATAGTTGCGAAGATAAACTCACACAAAGTAGAAATTCGAGGTCTTCTCTTTGTTATGGAACCATTGGTGAAGACATTTATACTAATTAAACGTATGTGAACATTATTAAACCAGACGAATAGATCATGTTGACTTAATTGTTACCAACTAAGTGTTTTTAATAAATAAATTATAATAACGAATCATGAATATAATAGACAGTGATTTTGCACATATTATAAGTGTTGTTAGCATGAATTCGTACATTTTCTTGTTTATTGGATTATGGTGCGTTGTGTATTTAATCAATGAAATTAGCATTGAGAAAACACTTATCAGTCATAGTTACAATGAGTTTCAATATAAAATTTGATATACAATGAGAAATTGCTACAAATTGCTAAAATTCATTGTTGTTTGATATGTTGACATCTATAGCACACAGTGTTACTTTATCCATAGTCATGGCAAATAAACACGAGTTATTTCTTTATTCAGTTTATGTAAAATTTATTTCATTTATGTGTATTAGAATTTCTATGGGGAGGAAATGCACTGAATTTTTGTACTTAGGTGTATTCATAAGTGATTAAAATATTTCTGTTAATAGTAAGATCCTAAATATAGCTTTTTAAGGTCAGATAAAGAGATGTGGCATAAAATATATGGACACTGATGAGTCACTATAAAGAAAGAAATGAAATTTAGACGAAGGTAACAATGGTATAGAGTGAAACGAAAATATCTTGTCATATTTTAGGACAAATATTTTGCAAAATCTTATGATTAGTCATTTTAATTAATAACTGTTATGTTAAGTAAATTACGTGATCTGATATGTTTTATCAAACCTAAATTTCACTATTGGCTGTCTTATTAAAGAGTACAAATAAGTCTGGTTGCTTAATTTACAACTGATCTTATTGTGTTGACTATTAAGTCAACAATACTTTGTTGTCCCTTTTTAAACGTTGACAGTTGTAATATGTAAAAACTTTGAAGTCATATGTCCATAGTTAATTGTACTTTAATCGACATTGAAATGACTACGATTATTTATAACTAAGATGAATACATTTGTAGACATAAAATTCTTTAGACTGAATGACCTTATTTTGAAGTACTTATTGTTTTAGCTCAAGAAACGGAACTAGCAAAGGGCTGAGGAATGTAATTTTGAGCGTGTAAACCAAGAAAAACTCAAGTTCTAGATCGTCTTCAGTTGAAGATTTTTTTATTCTAGAGTGATGTCAACTGGAGAACCTTTGAAAATTAGGAAGTTGTAAACAAGATTGGTGTTCGTACTATATTATGATTTGACTAAGAATGGGACAATGGATATTGGAAAATTGGCTTAATGGTGGACTGTATGTCGTAAAACCTTGATGCCTAGGGTGTCTAGAATCTCATGTGAAGATTGTATTGAACCTTTGCGATGCTGTTCCTCTTGTTGTTCATTGCTTATTTAGCTTCAGTTTCATCTTCGCCACAACTAGGTGGTGATCTGGTGCTATGTCAGCTTCTCTCCTGGTTCTCATATTTTCCAATTCCTTTGTGAGCTTTTTATTGTTGCAAATATTGTCGATCTGTTTCTGTGTAATGTGATTCGGCGAAACTCATATGGCTTTGTATATGTTTTTGTGTGGAAATATTGTGCCGCCTACAACCAATTTGTTGGATTTACGTAGATTTGCAAATCTCTCGCAATTCTCGTTCCTTTCTCCTAGTCCATGTCGTCCCATGTATCTCCATACCCGGTGTTTCCCACACCGATCTTGGTGTTTAGATCTGTAGTGACCTACTTGTACAGAGAGAACATGATTGGTTTAATGGAAACAATTATTATTCTAACCAGTAGCACCAGTGATTGTTTTACTGTGCTTGTTTGTTTGACTGTACTAGAGACATACATTCTTCCTTCCTTCGATTGTGACCTTGCACGAACTCGGTTACGCTCAGTAACCACACTTGTAACCTGGCACGATCTCGATATTCTTTCGATACCACGAGATCTCCAGCAAATGAATCTTGACTGCAGCCATCAACTGCCTTCTGATATTTGGCTTACGGGGGACTTTATCGGTTAACTGACACATAGTTTTCCTGTAGTGGTGATCATAGACAAACGCGACTCGACGCCACGCTACAGATCTATCATCAGGGTAGTCAGGTGCTTTCCGGAGCTTTTCTCTGTGACCGACTACAGCCTCTAGTATAGTTGGTCTTCCCTGTCTCCATTGCTATCAATAGTGAGTGCATAACATTCATTGTGATTCCCTCCTTCTTTGTTTTAAATGATGCTTTGATTGTTCTGGATCCATGAGATTCCCATCCTATAAGTGCATTACGTGCTTCTTTGTGGAGTACTATTACAACTCCTCGTCTGTGGGACGGATTTCCCTCTTCATAATCAGAGGACGGCAGGATCTAACCCTTTCTATCCAGGTTTGGTCCAATATGCTTCACGTATTCCGAGCACCACCAGGTTGTATCATGTCATTTACGTCGCTATTTATTTAATCCTCCCAATCTACCACATCGTCCGTACGTTCTATGTACCAATATTAATTGTTGCTCTGGTTGTTAGACGGGGCATCAGCCTCGTGACTTCCGAACAATCTCGGCTTCCATCATGAAGCGTTATAATTCCTCCTTGAACTCAGAGGGAAGAGTTTGAATGGTTCAAATTTTTTATTCTGGTTAGTGATTTTTAAGCAAGGCTGTTTTCTACTGAATGGAGTTGCCGACCCCATTCCCAACCCTCCTTCTTTGTGTGGGCTTGGGACCTCCGAAGAATATCGACTTTCACTGTGGGTCGTTATAGTTCTCCTGAATTAAGTTCCTTCAACTCTCAGGACGGAGCTAAAATGGTTTAAATTGTTTATTCTGAGGATTGTTTTTAATGTAGATTGTTTTCGACTGGATGCGGATGCTGATCCAATGCCCAACCCTCTTCCTTTAGCCGAGCTTGGGACAGATGGTAACCCTAGAATAGCTACATGTGAAGTTTTCTTTACCAGTAACGAGCTGAATTATTATCTTCCTCGAAGTTATGTGACAAACACCAAGCATCGAAACACCTTAAATAATCTTCCACTTCTTGGGTGACGCGTTGACAGCTAAATTCACCATTTTAGTTGAATCCATTCGGATTGCGATGCCAGATGTGAATCTAAAATGCTATCGTGAGATGCAATCAATCCCAACAAGTCTAGTACTTTAACAACATACAATCAAGAACTCAAATTCGAGGTACGTTGTGTGAGATTGCATTGTATCTTTATTATTATAGTTTTAAACACAACATGGAATATTTAACTCGACACTAAGTGTACTGGTTATTCACCACACTATATTTGTCGGTTTTTATTATGGAATCGATCAGTTACCACAATCTTCTTCATAATACGGGGTCTCAAATGCGTTAAGATAACAGATATCACTTCTTATTGATGCTAGCTAGAATGAAATGCTGAATGTTCTCTCGTATCCCAGTCACGCCTTCGATCCATATGAAAACTCCCAGTTCATCTTTACTGTACCATGAAAGCACAAGAAGTCTGATCTTTGTGACACACTACTCATTTAAGGTTGAAATAGCTGGTAGTCAGCCAAACACTTCTCATAAGTAATATCATATTGTGTGTTATATTCGGCGTGAAATTTACCTATCCAGTTGGTTGTAGAACAATTTCACAACATAGCTTATGTTAGTTCATGATAAAAATCTCAAACCCTTATCCCGAATCAAGAACAATATATGGAATCTTGGGTCCCTACTAAGGTTCGAAGAGACAGATAATCTGTATCCATTTGGAGGAGTTTTATGTCATCATTTTTCAATCTACTAGAAAAGTGATCTGCAGAAGACTTTTATAAATTAAGTGATTATGTGAAATTCCCTTTTGTATTTTGCAATTTTATTATCTTTTTTTAGCAAACTATATATATCAAAACCGTTTTCTGGTTGACTGAGAATTGGCTGAAATGTACTCGATGTCGTTTTAAGTTTGTTATTCTACTAAAAGTACTAACACTGTTCATTTCAGATTTTGTTATTTAACCGTGTCTGTTGAGTGATTATTATCGTTTACAAGCGATTGAACCCTGCAATTACTATTAATAAAAATTTGCATTCTGAGTAATTAATCGTCCTGTTGTATGATTTCAGTAGTCGGTAAGAGTTTGAACAATTTACAATTAAAACCTTGATTCAGTTTGAATAGTCATTATTTACAACATTCTTCTCGAGTGGCTCCAAATAAAATCATTCTAAAATAGAATCCTTGCCAACAAATTAACTAACCTATTCAACTAGTTATAATTATTATTTTGCTTGAAACCCGTCCAACTGTTTTTTAATGAATGTAATTGGTGTTACTGAAACAACATATCAATCCACAACAACTATTATGATGAGTCCATTTAGAAACCTCAACTTTTACGAAATACATCTATAACTATCTCAAAAGGAGCTATATTCTAGTTCTATAAAACTACTGACTTTCCAGATCAGTCTTTGACCCAATAGTTATGAATACGTTTGCAAGTTAAGTAGTAAATAATGAGATATTCAACAGTTCGCCGTGTATTACTTAGAGTCGTCGACAAATACCAGAGTAATAAAGCTAGAAGTTACATATACCTAGCTCCCTAGTGACTTTTCAATACAATAAAAATAAAAAATACAACGTAATGTGATTGAATTTTAATCAACAGAACAATGAAATAAATAGTGAGACTTAATATAAGAAACGTTAACTTGAAAATTAGAGAAATCAATCCATTTTTACTTCAGCTGATGGAAAAAAAATGTTTCTTTCTGAAAATTCGTCGTTTTCTCATGAAATTTGGGCTCTTCTGTCTATTACAAGAGCTGAAAAAAGATTTTTTAAAAACATCAGCATGTAATTCGTGTGGTTTTCATTATTCTAAAGCAAACATGTCATATGTTTATCCTTTCATAAGAGTACACGCAGATACGCTTATCAGCCACAGGGCAGCAGCCAATACCATGTTATCTAATTGTGTGTATCGATCGACACTTATTAGTCAAGTTAATTTTTAATTGGCATCTGAAATCTTGTTGGAAATGATGTTCCTCATGGGACTCAAAATTGCTTCACTCGTTGTCCATCAGAGAATTTACCGTTGAGCTATACTGATCTCAGTTGGTTCAAATTATCTATCTTTTAAGGTGGAAGCATTCCGAATCAAGCTTTTACTACTATTACATCAAGTAGCTAAACACACATTCCCTGGTGGGCATTTAAATGTTTTATGTACACACCTAGAATAACACGAAATGAATGAACAAACAGCCCCCTGTATTTATGATCTTCAGATAATAAATACGTAACACTATTCATCTCAAAACTAAGAATAACTAACGATACAAAGATGAGTTAATTTTTGTTCAATGAATGCAGTTAGTAAATGAATAAAAATTCAGTGTGACTCACCTGGTACTTTGATACCAGTCTTGTTTGTATGAACACCACTTGGGAGGCAGCTGCAGTCTATAAAACAAACAGTTTGCAAAGAAGTACCAATTGTGGATTTGAAGATATCTTTATAACTAGATAATGAAATATAATACTAAATGGATAAAACGGTAAGAAAATTTTCATGCCTAATGAAATACAACATAAATTGCGTAGTATACACCAACTACTCATCAAATAACCTTCTGCTAAAATGTCATGTAACAATGCATTCACATACCAAAACTGATTCCATACAACAAAATTTAGACAAAAAAGAATAACAAGGTTTGCAAAATAAAATGCATTTACTATATTTCACAATTTCTCATCTGCTGCATACAACCTAAAATTACAATTATTGATATAATTATTAGCAAATGTTCAGCATACTTTAGTTCGAAACGTAACCAAAATTGTAATAACAAGAAGAATAGGGATACAAAGTGTATGAATAACCTTAGTTAAGATCTATAGGTGTTTATGTGGTGGAATGTAATAATTCAGAGTTTATTTAAAGGTAATGTGATTAATAAATGATCAGGTAGTCGTTCAACATGATAAAATAAACAAACATCCGAACATCAACATGATTAAGTAGAAGCTGAATATCAAAAGATGAAATAAAAACAAAGATAAAAGGTTGAGTACAGGGTTGAAAAAGAGATTAAACGTTAATATTAATAAAGGTTATTAGATAACCCCCCGATCACCAAGGCAGAGAAAGGCCATTCCCACTCTCTGTTAAACGGAGTAACGCTGATGTTTTTATCAATTATTATTATTAATTTTAAATGCATTACTTATATTTACCTCATGTCAACTATACAAAACGTGTCTGGCAATTGCATTTGTAAAGACTTTACACCGTTTCAGCTATGGGTTCCTAGGAAGGTGTTCAGAAAATTTGTAGAGACCATTCTCTCTTTCCTTCCTATGTACGTGCTATCTTAGAGACATATAAATTCATAAATGCAATTGGAGGTGACGTCAGAAGGGTGATGATCTACCTTTGAATGGTATAATGAAGAATATGCTCTGTATAGTGAAACCGACTGAGCAGCACGGAAGCTTCTTCTCTCCCATAGAATCTTGAAATCTCATCTCCCTCGAACGGAAGGCGAATGAGGACAAGTTTCGTTCCAACAGTTGATTATTTACCATCTATGGGATATTCTTTTCTATATTTCATAATAAATTTCTTCGTTTATCCATTTTTAAAGAGATATTTTTTCAGAATAGCCAATTATTCATTTATATAATTGATTGCTTGAGGTAATCTACGAGTAGTGGTTGGTTATAGGACACAGCAAATTGGAGTTAGAAATTAACGAATTCAATCTTCACGTAAAAAAGTCAGGGTCATCCAGTAATTGAGTGAGAATTCACTGTACTTATTTGACCCACCAACGTACAAATTTGTCGTCAGCGTCATTGGACGTCATTGATTATTAGTTTATTTTATGTCACATAGCCCGTTAAAATATCATTTGACAAAATCGCCAATCAGAATACCTACTTCTATGCTTGACCAATGATGCGTTTACCAGCACTAGCAGCCTTGAGTAAACTCTGGGTCCTTGTTAGTCCTCAGTAAGGTAACTTAACGTCTGCTACAGCCCGTTCAGTCCAGAACACAAATCTCGACCTCCTCTGTTTATTTCAGATCTATGTGGTTTATATACAAGCAGAACAGACCGCATGATACCATAAAATGAAAAATAATAATTATACAAGATAAGTCAAAAATGGCTGCGAATGTGGGATAGTGTAGCTGATGACTTGTGAATAAGTTAAGAACGGTAGATCGAATTGCTGTAGCCAATAGGTCATATGAAAGTTTATGATAAAAGGGATATATAAATAATCTAGTTACTTAATAGTTAGCCAATAAGAATATATGTAATAATATTCTATAAATAACTCCTGGCGTTTACTGTTCCTTTCCTTTATTCTTCATTCGGATATAACAGTTACTTACTTACTTACGCCTGTTACCCCCAATGGAACATAGGCCGCCGATCAGCATTCTCCAACCCATTCTGTTCTGGGTCTTCCTTTCTACTTCTATCCGATTGTTGTTCGTTCTTCCCATTTCTGTATCTATTTCTCAGCGTGATGTGTTCGTTGATCTTCCTCTTCCGATTTGGCCTTGAGGATTCCAAGTAAGGGCTTACCGTGTGACGCAGTTGGGTGCTTTCCTCAATGTGTGTTCTATCTACTTCCAACGCTTCTTCCTGATTTCTTCCTCCACTAGAATCTTGTTTGTCCTCTCCCACAGTCAGTTATTGCTGATAGTGTCTGGCCAACGGATCCGAAGTATTTTGAGTAGACAGCTGTTAATAAACACTTGTATCTTCTGGATGATGGCTTTCGTAGTTCTCCAAGTTTCCGCCCCATACAGTAGAACTGTCTTGATATTTGTATTGTCAAGACCATCAGCCATTCAGTTTTTAATTAGTGACCGGAATCATGCAGAAGGAGAAAATCAATATGTCCACTATTTCCGAGCAAATGCAATTATTCCTTCAGGAGCAGCAGAGTCAATTTTTAGATCCTCAAGAACAGGTGCCTGAACCACTTATGCCAAAATGTTCAATCTAGTCCTGATAAGCACCAGGACATTTAATTTAGTCCCAGAATTTATTTTTGATACAGAAAATGGTCATGCATTTGAATCATGGTTTGCTAGATTGAAAGATCTTTTTCAAATGGACCATCAAGATAAAGAGGAAGCAAAGAAGATACGATGGCTGACACCGAAACAGTCCATAAGAATATTCTAAAGATGTCACGGGTATTCGAAGCTTGACAGTTCATTTACACGTAACACCTTTATAACCAAAGTATACCAACTCACTCAAATTAGAGGTTAGAAATGAAGGGGTTTGAAGATATATTTGGAAAGCTGTCGATATGTTGAGAAGTGCTTGGTTTAAGTTGACTAGTAGTTGCGAGGGATGCGTGGCACGGTGTACCCACTTGTGATCTGGTGTTGATGCGTGACTGAGCGCCTTCAGCTAGGGTGTTTCTAGTAAAACTAATGTGGTCAGCATCAATTTCAAAGACTTACAGAACTATTTATTATTGGGATTTATTTACCGGTATACTCCAAATACAAAAATTTTATCTTGCCAAAACACACAAGGAAGTTGATTTTTGGTCAAATCACTAGTATTTTGAACGTGATATTTTATGAACAAACATCATTACTTCATATTCGTTACAAATATCTCCAGTTAAAAAGGATGCTGATGAAGATTATTTGATGTACGTAAGCAGGATTAATCTACAAGCTGAGTTTCGAAATAAATGTATTTTCAAGTGACCAACTTAAATATTCATTATTTGTTTCTGGATTATAAACTTCCACAAATGTCAATATACGAACACGATTATTAGCCCATATTGAACAAGATGATGAAATGAAATTATAAACGACCACTGTATAGTGTCAACGCCTGCTTAATCTAAAATATGACACAGCAATTGTGGAAACTAGAGAAGAAACTTTGGCGAATTATCATGTTCATTCCATAAAATCAAGCACGAAAAGTAACGTTAATGTTGGCAATTACCCTAAGCTCAAATAAAGAATGCTATAAAATTGTGTTTTGGCCCAGACTTGTCCTTATCAAAGTCACCAATGTAATATATGTTATAACGTTTTTCTAGAGTCACATTAAGTATAATCATGGTATATTTTCAACAATTCCATGCTGACAAAAGAAGATACGTGGTTCTATTAACATAATTACAGACAGCATCCATTATTATAATCGCTTCTAGAAAGACATGGAAATTGTTGGTGAGTCATCCAACATTACTTACAGAACATACATCTCGTTACGCATGTGTGGATATTCTAAAACTCGTCGGAATGATCGAGTGGATTGTTCAATTTAGAGATTATTCTTTTGATAGGACATGTTATTCAACGAGTAGACATGAATTGGATCCTGTTGCCACTAATTGGATTGATATATATATACTCTAATTGTATAACTGTTTATTGATTACCGTCTCCAACAGTCACAGCCACTTTTTGGCTTGATCATGTACAACTATTATTTCCTATTTTATGGCGTGATGTGGTCTGTTTGGCTTGTATATAAACCAAGTATGTTTGAAATGAATGATTTGTATAATGGAAGCTGGTTTTGGTGTTCTGGACTTAACTACCAGGGCTAGGAGGAAAAGGGGCCAATAAGGATGCTAGGCTGTTCATGCCGATCGATGCGTCATTGGTATGGCACAGTGATAAGATTGTATAAGTCGTATTCTGATTGGGGAATAAGTCACGTGACAATTAGCCGGGCTTAAATGTCACAACAGTATTTATATTAAATGACTCTTGGATTCAAAATAACTAACATGCTCTATATGTAACATCCAACGCTAAAACGTTGACAGAGTCAGATCCTTTTGAAAAACATTCAAATTTGCTCCAGAACACATTGGAATGTTGTACTATTAGGAAAGCTATACTGTATTTACAACATGAAGTGTAACCAGTTTTCCGCCCGAAACGACAAGTACCTTATGCCTCCATGAATAAGGTTGATAAAGAACTCGAGCGGTTAAAAAAACTTGGAGTTATACAACCAGTTACTTTCTCATTATGGTCAGCTCCTATGGTTATAGTTCAAAAAGCCAACTGAACTATTCGTCTATGTGGTGATTACTCTACTGGACTAAATAATGCTTTGCAAAATCATTCATATCCACTACCTTGACCTGAAGATTTATTCATAAAACTTAATGATGGACGTTATTTTGCAAAACTCGATTTATCTGATGTCTGTTTTCAGGTGAAAGTTGATACTGATTCTAAATGTTTTCTGACCATAAATACTCATCTTGAACTTTACCAAAACAAAAGATTGCTATTCGGTATAAAACCATCTCCCGAAATTTTTCAACAGTTAATAGTTATTGTGATATCGAATCTTGATACTGCTGGCGCCTACTTGGATGATATTGTTATGGATTATTGTCTCGTTTGAATAAATTGCTTGCAAAAATATCAGAGTCTGGTTTTCAACTGCAAAAAGTAATTGTGCACTATTTCTTGGATCTTCTAAGTATCTTGGATTTGGATTTGATAAACACGGTCGTCGACCGGATCCGGATAATACATATACCACTAAACAAAGGCTTCCGCTGACTGATATAATGACATTGCAATCATTGTCGGGCATGAATGAATATTATAGCGTATTTATTCTGGCTATGCAGACACTACACCGTCTGTTAAATCAGCTCTTAACAGCTAATACAACATGGAAATGGTCAGATGAGTGTTAAAATTCCTTAGGTAATATCAAGAAAATCTCATACTCTCATTTATTACCGACTCATTACCACCCGAAATAGGCGATAGTTGTTTCCGCTGACACTTGATTATGGTATTGGATCTGTTATCAGCCACCATTTTTCAAAAGGTGAGGGAAAACCTCTAGCTCATCCATCGAGATCTCTAAATGCGACAACGAAAGTATAGTCAAATAGAAAATGTAGGGTTGACTTTGATTTTCGCTATCAAGAAGTTTCATAAAATGACTTATGAGTGTCTACTTACATTGTTTATGGGCCTCAAACACATTCTCTCGATTTTCAGGTCCAAGTTCGGCGTCCTAGTGTTTATTGCTAATCGCTTGCAAAGTTTGCCCATGACATAAATCTACAACAAATTTCAGTCAAACCGATGCTTTCTAGATTCATTGCAAGGCAGGAGTTCGAAAACGAAGATTTTGTCATTGCCACTGTATCTCTGGAAGTAGATATTAACCAGATACCACAAACCGTAATACAAGTAGCACCTCTGTCAACAAGGGATACTAAATGTACTAATTAAACAAACGGTGAGCTTAAAGGCGTTATTCGTTATCTCCTGATGGAATGACTTGTTTAACATACTAAAGATGGGTGGTGATTTTGTGGAAACAAATTTAATTTTCATTATAAGTTCCATCATCTTTGCATGTTAATCATTCCGACCATTTAAAACTCAAAATCATTTAAACTCATCACATAAAGCTTTATGAAAAACTTAGAAAATCTATTTGAGAAGTTATATTTCAAACAACGAATTTGAAGAACCTACTATGATTCACTGCATTTGGCGTCTGGATCTCAACACGCTCGGAAAATTGGGTTTTAATGGAGTTTTTGAAAAGTGCCTTAACTTTGTAAATGTAATTTTGGTCTTCTGATATGTCCATAATTATATTATTCAAATGTCCATCAACCCGATATTTCATAACTGAGAGTATAATTAACTTCGGTTTTAGACGTCGATGAACGCGAACCAATAAATAGTGTGATAGACACTCGCTGAATTTCTCACTTATCTTATTCCAACTGAGTAAATGAATTGAACCTTCTGCAATGGCAGTGACTGTCAAGCCTTCCACTTTGGGAAAATCTAAAAATACATTAAAGTATGATTATATTTTTCAAAACATGACTTGAGTTTTGAAGATATGAAGAAGGGAAAAGAGAGTTGTCAACAAATATACACATTTAGATACCGTAGATACGTATAAACAATAAACAATGTTATTTTATACAAACATATCTGTTTACTCATTTTGGGATAAGATATTTAAGTGACCATGTGACTGTCAGTTGCATTTATTCGACTCTGTTGGTTAATTTTTGCTCAGTTGTGGGATTAATTCGAATGTCTTACCTACTAATCAGTATTGTTAAACTCTGAATAAAATACTGATGATCATTACTAGACTTAAATAAAGAAGAATGGAAGACATGATACTGGGAAATAAATACTGAAATTAAAAGAATAGTGATTTTTATTAACATAAATCATACAGACACGGAACTAAGGTTTTTCAGTCATGTGTAGTCATTTTTAAATTATCCCGCTAGGAATAAATTCGAATATGATTTAAACGTCAACTGAGTCGTTATACGTATAAACGGGATAAAAGCAGAAGACATTTAAAACTGCTCAGTTGTCAATTGCTGAACAGATGAATTACACATTATGCCAAAATGGTGTAGTAAAGAATCTCAGTGGTAGATACGCTGTGCATGAGGACGAATCGGACGAAATTGGAAAGTTCACTCTTACTAAACACAAATTTATAGTTGCTAGGTGGCCTGAAAACAAACTTAATCAACAATAAGTGAAAGTCACCACCTTTTAAAACGAATTAAACATGACCTTTCCTTTACGTACAGAATTCAAGCATGGAAACAATGAAACAATAAAAAGAATGTCGACCTTTCAGTGAAGAAAGTGTTCTTCTGGATAATGATATTTTCTTAAACTGTACAGTCGTAATTACACTTAATTTTACAATATGTACTCTATAATGAGATATAATGTTCACCACTAAGCTGTTATTCATTTTATCACAAATTTAATACACAATACTCCGTGTCAGGCGGAGATCGTGTAGCTTGAGTTGTTCATCACTGAGGGTGATCCTTCCTTTAAAATACATATTTTATAAAAAAATCATCTGCATTTCGTCGACTGTCCCCTATTATGGAAGTTACATTTTCATAAGCTCGCAATCGTTTCAAGTGTTCCGCTTCCTTCGAAAATCCTACGCAAACGATCATCTCTCTTAAAATCAACTCAGATTCACTAATTGAAACAGACTTGGCTGACAACAGCGCTGACTAGAAATGATATTTCTAAAATGAATTCATTAATTTTATGAGTCCGATTATAGAAATTTCATTGGTCGGCTAAAATGACGCTTTTGACTAGTTGGAAAATGGTAGGGCTTCTAAAATAAGTTTCATACCCTTAAACATTATTCCTATTAATCGTATTCTATTATTATATTGATCTATAAATATTTGAGACACGTTGACTTATTGACACTTTGGACGGTTTGTATTCATTTCAACACAATGAGGTTTAGACCAGTCTAATGTAGTCTTAGATTCGCCACTAAAGTACAACTCCTGGTGATACTAAGTGCCAGTGTCAATATAAATCTAATACACTTGCAAAGAGATCTACATTTGGCGTTAATCCAATGCTACTATTAAACATGTCTAGTTGTATTCATTCAATCCCATTCGTTCATTATTAGTGTATATGCTAGTGAATTCAATTATTGAAATATTTACTTAAAAACATTTGTATTCTAGGTCTTATTAAATTCATTTATCCTCAGCCTTCGATTATAAAGATAACAAATATAACACAAACAATAACATGTTTAAAAGATGTTATTTTGAAGAATGGTCTAAAAATGCACTTCATATCTAAATAATCAATGTATTCTGTCGAAACAAATCAGAAACTTGGTGATGTTAGTTCTTGAGAACATATTTCGGATCGATTAGATTCGGAAGGTATCTATTTAAAAGTGAGCGGGCTAAAATACGAGTGGAAAAAGGCGCACGCCAGTAAGAATGAGCTTCAGAGGGTGCACTTTGTTAAAGGAGATCATTGTCAAGGAGAATAACAGTTTTAATGGTGTGAAACATGTTCGATTTATCCTCTATCCCTTTGCCTTACGACTAGTCGGAAATGTATTTATCTAAACGTGTGATGAGGAGTCTACTTTTAATAAATAATGTAATTTTCCAAATTCGGTCACAAATTGTTACAGTTAATAACCTAGTTCTATTATCTCGTACATCTATTTAGAAGAGTTGGGATATAATCTATTGAAAGGGATGTTTATGGATTGGATTCCCAACAGATCAAGAGCATGTCAGACAATTTCAGGTGGCCGAAAATGCGAAGGTCATAAACTTGATTACGATTAAGTATTTGCAATAAAAATGCAATAATATATAAAATGAATTCGTAACTATGTTTTTTCGGGGGGGGGAATAAAATATTTGATTGGAGTTAAAACTGAAACAACTATTTACGAAATCAGCTAATTGCATTCTAGGTGATAGTTTTTACTCCTTACCGAAATGGATTTGCAATATATGTAGAGCAATAAAAGCGAAAACGTGCCTAAATTTTATAATCAAAAATTCATACTCAGCGTCATTCACTAAATGTTGGCGTGTTTGGCAACAAGGATCAAATGACTAGGTTTTATTGAGAAATAATGAGGTGAACAGGTGGAACATATAAGATGGATCTCATGGAATTATTAATAATATTATTAATGTAGGGTTGTTAAGTAAGTATATAATTTACATAATCATTTGTTTCGGTTGAAACCGTACTTAGATTTACGTTTGGCAGATAGAAACGTTTAAACAGCTTCTTAACATTAATTAGCTTAAATTATGCATCCACTTCTACAATATCTTATACATGCGTAATACAACGAGGTTACCTATCTCATCAGAGCCAGTGTATATGATGGAGTCTTCAACAATCAGGTAACCTTTAGCGACGTTACATGACAGACAAAAATTTTGATTTGCAGATTCATCATTTGACAGCGTTAGCATTCGTACCGTTCGTAGATATCATAGTTGTATTTGGTAGTCGAATAGAGTTACCGTTCTGCATAGAGAATGACGAGGAAATCAAAGAGTTAGCAAACTATTTTAAAGACATCTTGATCGTGAGACCGGAAGGACATGAAGGACTCATCAAATCGATTTTCCAAATCGCACTGTGAAACTCCTAGGATTCTGCTGTAGAAGGCCACAAGACGGACAACAACGGTACATAAAAAGAAGCATAAGAAGGTAGCAATACGTACCGAACTTGCAGTAGATGGTCGATAATGGACTATCTATGTGGAATAGCACATAATTCGAATATTCAAATCTAAATACGTTAAACTGTCTTACGAAAAAACGAACAGTGCTGTGAAGGTGTGACATAAATGTTTGCTCGCACTTGTATTAATGAGAACCAATCCCAAATACGCGTTTGTCTTAAATGTCTTCACAAACGCATCGATCTAGACACTGCTAATCAACTGTTTGTCTGTCATTGTCAAACCATATGTTGAATAAGAAGATCTTTGAAATAGTGTATTCGAAGAGGACAGTCTGCGTGCAAAACAGAGATGTAGTTTAACTATCCCAACCTCATATACTACTATAAATATCACTGTTCAATCCCATCTACAGTGAAATTTTACTGATAAGCTGTATTGCATTTGCCTCAAAATACTGCGAGTAAAATGACTAATCTGTCATCTGTGGAAACGAAAACGACCTGTATATTGTCTGTTTACATGACAGCCTTTCAATATATCAGATAACTTTGTTATTTAAGTATAAAAATACGGAATTACCTTGCTCAGTTGGACACCTGTCTTCTTCATCGGGATCTGGGAGTTGAGAGTTATGAAGATTTTCAAGGAAAATATTCCTTTGATCATTGCCTGGATAATCGAATAAAAATAATAAGTATTTCAATATCACTTTGTCGAACAATTTAAAATTAATAGTCCATTGAAAATGCTTGTATTGTAATCAAATGGTCGTTTCTTGTTTATACGATTATCGAAATCTTGCACAGCAAATGAATGCTGTTTAGCTGTCTGTTTGGTTTAAATATCTACCTGTTAACTTGGATCATCATCGATGTTTTAAATGTAAAACCTACCGTAATCAATCCATGCCTCATGAAGTCATCACTTTATTCGTGAGAAACTTAAGGGATAGGTAAAACTATGTTTGTGGTTGTAAGCACACAGTTTGCTACTCTCAGTTTCCTTCTCACTGTTATATCGTTGTCTACATTGACTCCATTTTTTGATCTACTGTTATAAAGAGTAACAACCTGAATATATATATTCTATTACAAAAGATACGGTATTTAACAGCGCTCTCTTCAATGTCTTAATTATAAAAGGCGTTTAACATTGAGCATTGTAGTAAACTGAGATTAACAGGATACAAATTAATCGTGTACATGATGATTAATTGGCTTATTGCTAAAGTAAATATCGTCTAGACAACACATTTAATTAAAAGTGAAATTTTAACTGACTACTACATTTCAAAACATATTTTGTTCAGCAACATACCACTCTCATACGAATTCAAAGTTTAAATACAGCGATATTGCAGACACCACTATGCTAACAAACTAATGGAGAAAACACACTCAAATTCTAAAGACTTATTAATTTGTTTCTGTATGCTATGAAATTGCTCGGTAATCAATCCATTTGATCATATAAAACATAAAACTTTAAACAACATCGATATAGGAATACAAGATTAACGTTTATTCCAGAATCTTCTTTTCATACCTCTTGTAGGTTTTACTTCCACTTATCAAATTTTATAAAGCAAAATACGCTTATTGAACACTTCTGTGAGGTGTTTTATGTTTGTAGGATGATGAACATAAAACAATAATATTTAACAAGTATATAAGTTAAAGCTGTAGACTGAATGCAACGATCTAACCATTTTCATATTGACCAGATTTAGCGTAGTGCCCCGTTATCTACCGCAGTGTTCACAATAAAACACTTTCATTTGACATGCAAGATTGACAAATATTATAGCTTGGTTAATTTTTCAATATCTTTACAAATCTACAGTGCTTGAAGCTGTTAAACACAATATGCACTTATGTTGGGTGCGTATTCAGCTTCAATTGCAAACTGGTTTAAAACGAATATTACTACATAGAATTATAGAGATTATGCATTTAAATGTCATTCACCATATTTTAGTTAATACTTACCAATGTTATGTGGTATAGAGCTGACTTCGGTGTAACCGGACTGATCTAAGCATTGAAGAGTATAAGATGTATTTGATTTCAAAAAATTCAATGATGAATCCCCACTCCCTCTCTTGTATGTGCATCGTCCAGCAGTGTTTTGATAACTGCCAACAACAGAAAGTTTACAATCACTTCCAGTTAAAGTTTCAAAACTGCAGTAGTGAGTTACTGTTCCAGTTTTGTTGTCGGTCAGTGCATATTGTTTCCAACTACCCTCTAGTTTCCCATCTAATTAAATATATACACCCATTAGGATAAAAAAAATAAAACTTCATTCAACAGAGCATAGTAATTATTGAAAAATTAGAATATAAAATGCTTGAAGAAAGGATCAGCTGCTGAAATAATTACAAGCACTCAGTAAGAAAAAAATGCCTAAATGAAGATAGTTTTCAGATCTTCTATGTTTACCAGTTTATGTACAGCGTAGTTGGTGTTAAATGTGTGATTTATTTTCAATTTGACGACTGATTAAAACATTAATTAAATCATTTTGTGATGGCTGATCAAAAGTTATTCATTTGATTCGATTCTCTTGTATCTACACCGGTCCCATAATAACAACAATTATATGAATAAAATTTAAGTAACAGAAGAATTTGTGGAGATCACTGTTATGTATTAGGAATCGGTTCGAAGTGTTTCAGCCATACCTGTTTTTCGGCATCAAGACTAACATAAAATAAGGATTATTTCAATTTTATCACATTTTTATGACGAATCAAATCATTGATTTATTGCTTCATAGAACTGTTTTTGTGATAAATTTTAACTGGGAATGATATTTGTGCTCCTAATACGAATCCTAATATGTACAGAAACAAATTTTGTCACATAATATTTATACATTAAACATTTTGACTGACCTTCTGGTGTAATGTTAAAAATACTTGTACTTAATATTGTTCCATTAAAACTGATTTGAACAATGAAAGGTTTACAATATATCGCATGAAGAGGTATTATATTATCCGAAACATTCCAGTTTATTACATGACCTAATGAAGTATTCACTATGATTCCAGGCATCATTTCACCAGACTTTTCACTTGAAATATATATTGTCCGACCAAATCTGTTTATCTGAATTTTCAAGTCTTCAAATAAATTTTTCACTGAAAGAAATGAAAAATAAGCTAGCTAAAAAACTGATTTCCGTATATCTGTATACATAAGGTTGTTATATTAATTGATAATTAAGTATGCACATAGCCTATCAATAAAGTTAAATCAAAATAGTATGTGTAGATATAATTATAAACTTCACTAGTATAGGGATTGTGGAGATTATAAGGTTTTGATTGAGATCATGAACCGATTGATGTTAGACCACCACAATTGAATACCTGGAAGCACTGGACGGCCGTTTCGTCCTATTATGGGACTCCCCAGCAGTGCGCATCCACGAGTCCCACAATAGGACGAAATGGCCGTCCAGTGCTTCCAGGTTTTCAATTGTGGTGGTCTAACATCAATCGCTTCATGATCTCAAATATAAACTACACATTTGACTTCAATGTGAAAATTAGGATTAATTTATAAATTGTTATCAACGGAGAATTTCTCGAATCTATTGGAAATTAAATACCATTATATGACATTATACAGCTTGTTATCCAACAGAAAAATAAACTGTTGATAAAATAATCGTATTATTGTTTCCGTTACACAATAATGAATAAATAAAGGTCAGAGAAACAAATACCAGATAAACAATTATTATGCATAAACGTTAACTTTAAATTATAAGCAAAGATGGATGGTTGCTAGCAGTGGAATCCAGGACGCGAGTTTCGTCCTACTTGGGAACAATCAATATTTAGGTCATTTCGTAACTGGAGATGTGAAAATAACTGTCCAAAATTAAATGCGAATATTTATTATGAAAGCTTTGAATAACTGTTTCTTTTTATTAAAACAATACAATGATGTGATACTGTTGTAGTGTTTAAAATATGATTTCTTGAATGCAAATTAAAATTTCTTAAAAGCATACTTTCGATGATGATGAAGATGACTAATATGAAACATAAATGACTGCCAACTTACAAAGTTACAGAATAAGGATATCTATCATTCACTAAAAATATCTAAACTGGTTCCTTAGAAATAAAAAGTATACTAAAGATCACTATGGAACTGACGACATATGTAAATAATCTTGTAATTCCACAATCAGATTTACAAAATAGAAACAGCTTGGAATCGATTTTAGAAATATGTAATACGTGGAGTTATATAATGAAAACAAAGTAAAAACTTCACAGAAAACGATAGTATTGCGTTAAGTACACATTAAAGTAAAATTATGACGTTTCTTAAAATGTTCAATGAGGCAATGATCAATCTATTGAGCAAATCAAACTACGTAAACACAATTCAGCATTTTCAAGTTATTTCAATTTCAAGTACACGAATCTTGATGACTCTGGTATAATCCATTTAACAGAATTGTGACACTGACGATCACATAGTAAATGCTCTGTTTCTGTATAGAAAATAAAACTTCAAATAATGTAAATAAATCATACTAGTCAATTCTACACAAACAGAAAGCAGATACGGACAGTCATGAACCAGATTAAATGTCGGTAGTGATACTAACATGTGTATGATAAACGGTCCAACAAACTAAATTATACAGGGAATTCATTCGATTTAATGGATCGACAGCAAATTTATTTGTTGACAATTATTATAGTCATAACTCACTTACCCGGAATGACCTGAATAGTGAGCAGAAGAGTTAATAAAAACATGGAGACACATCTCATCATTTCCGTATCTTAATAATTACAAACACTAACCACATTCATTCAATTCATATTTATATGAACGCGAAGCAAAATAAATTACCGATTTCCAAACAGAAAAATGAGAATATATTTCGGATTTCTTACTTGTGTCTATTGTCTTGTTGAATTAGTCCTTTTGTAATGAACAGACATCACGGAAGTAGTTTGATATTTCACGTGCGTTTCGAGTCACTATGTGACAGTATTTATGAAATGAAACACAATACATTCACTTTGTAGTATCTCGGCTAATTAAAATATAATCTGTCTGGAATTATTTGGAAGTCCACAGTCTCTAGATGACCGAATCGGATCTATGAGCTGATCAAAACCGTATTTTTCACTCTATGTTAAACCGAAATATTGAAAAATATCAAAATGATTTTCACAGATTTTATTGTAATAAAAACGTGTTGTGAAAGCAGTCTTCATGATACAGACTACTTATCAGAGTCTTAGGTATTTGGTTTTAATGTGATATGTGTTGACACAAATGGCAGGCGAAATTCTAGTATCTCCTAACTAAGGAACAGCTGTTGAAAAATACTTATTTATATTAAAATTAAGGTACATCGACGGTCAGTAAGCTGAAGCCAGGTCAATATATTTGTCATTTAATAGTTTGGATGCTAAACAAGTTTACAAAGAAAATTCACCAAAATCTGGGGATAAAGATAGAGACGAGAAATAATACTTGTAAAAAAAATGACTTTCAGCTTGGCAAAAAATATTAGTTCCCATATTGTAATTTAGAACAACATATAAAAGCGAACAATATTGTTTTCGCTTAGATCCTCATCAGGCTTTACTCTAATATATAGTAATATTCTTTTAAGGAATTAATAAAATAAATGGTTACTTGCTCCGAACATACACGACTCACTTAAACCCACTGGATCGAACACACTGCGAGTATATGGTTAAACCAATGTGTTCAAGACAGGTCTTCCTCTTCGTCCAGTTTTAGATATGTATAATTCGCCTCATCATAAAGCTGCAAAAAGGCTAGTTCAAATCCTAGATCCCTTACGCAAAATAGTCGTCAAGAAAAGCGTGAAAGACGTCTTCGATTTCATTTTCAAAGTGTAACATATGAACTTAAATGTGAAACGGATGATATCTTTAGATGTCGCCCCCATGTTCACTAATGCACCTTTAACTGAGACTGTTGACTTTGTGTGCAAACAACTACTTGATAAACAAATCAATATTGGTATTCCCGAGATTAGTTTCAACGATTTACTTTTGAAATATACAATGAATGTCCATTTTGTCTTTAGTAACACATATCATAGATAAATTGATGGCATTGCGATGGGCTCACCTCTAGGTCCTATCCTTGTGGATATTTTTCTTGCGGAACTAGAAAACGGACCTCTCAAATATGTTATAATTAAGCTTGACTTCTACTGTCGTTACGTTGATAAAACTTTCATTATTCTCGATCAGAACATTAGAAAAGAAGAACTGTTAGAAATATTTAACAACAAACATCCAGCAATTAAATTTACATATGAAGAGGAAATAGAAAGTTTAAAATGATTTTTTTAAAGTATTGTTTTGGTGAATTTTCTTTGTAAACTTGTTTAGCATCCAAACTATTAAATGACAAATATATTGACCTGGCTTCAGCTTACTGACCGTCGATGTACCTTAATTTTAATATAAATAAGTATTTTTCAACAGCTGTTCCTTAGTTAGGAGATACTAGAATTTCGCCTGCCATTTGTGTCAACACATATCACATTAAAACCAAATACCTAAGACTCTGATAAGTAGTCTGTATCATGAAGACTGCTTTCACAACACGTTTTTATTACAATAAAATCTGTGAAAATCATTTTGATATTTTTCAATATTTCGGTTTAACATAGAGTGAAAAATACGGTTTTGATCAGCTCATAGATCCGATTCGGTCATCTAGAGACTGTGGACTTCCAAATAATTCCAGACAGATTATATTTTAATTAGCCGAGATACTACAAAGTGAATGTATTGTGTTTCATTTCATAAATACTGTCACATAGTGACTCGAAACGCACGTGAAATATCAAACTACTTCCGTGATGTCTGTTCATTACAAAAGGACTAATTCAACAAGACAATAGACACAAGTAAGAAATCCGAAATATATTCTCATTTTTCTGTTTGGAAATCGGTAATTTATTTTGCTTCGCGTTCATATAAATATGAATTGAATGAATGTGGTTAGTGTTTGTAATTATTAAGATACGGAAATGATGAGATGTGTCTCCATGTTTTTATTAACTCTTCTGCTCACTATTCAGGTCATTCCGGGTAAGTGAGTTATGACTATAATAATTGTCAACAAATAAATTTGCTGTCGATCCATTAAATCGAATGAATTCCCTGTATAATTTAGTTTGTTGGACCGTTTATCATACACATGTTAGTATCACTACCGACATTTAATCTGGTTCATGACTGTCCGTATCTGCTTTCTGTTTGTGTAGAATTGACTAGTATGATTTATTTACATTATTTGAAGTTTTATTTTCTATACAGAAACAGAGCATTTACTATGTGATCGTCAGTGTCACAATTCTGTTAAATGGATTATACCAGAGTCATCAAGATTCGTGTACTTGAAATTGATGTTTGCATTTTTTTTTAGATTAGCGGACTATTCATACTGCATCTTTTGGATATCCTCTAATTTGTAATTAAATTTTGTTTTTTCGTACGGTTTTACTCTTTATACGTGCAACACGTGAAATCTTCAATGTTGTCTCTACATGCGGACACTTGAATTTTCGGTTTTCTCAGTTTTTTCAACTTTCTTGTCTGTTAGATTTGAAGATTAGACCTTTATATATATTTATTTTATCAAACATAAATTTTATGTCAGGTTTATATTTTCCTACACTATTTAGATGAGAGAGGTCCGTGGGTGCTACTTCTATTTTGGGTGGGTTCAGTGAGGCTGGTCGATTCAAGAGTTCTTACAAGTGTTCTACCCACCTATTTTTCTGTTCTTCGATGTTGGTGATTACTTTGCCTTCCTTGGTTTTCACTGGTTGTTCTGGTTTACGATAATTTCCAGTGAGTTTCTTAGTTGTATCATACAATTGTCTTATGTTTCCTTTTCTTGTAGCCTTTTCCACCGTCATTGCTAGATCTTACACATATTTACGTTTGTCGGTTCTGATGCTTCTCTTATCTTACTTGTTTAATTCTGTGTATTCAGCCTGTGCCTTGGCTGTCTCTGCTCTTGCTCGGCTTGTATTGATTGCTGCTTTCTTGTTCCTCCTTTGCTGAATCTTATCCAATGTATCAACAGTAACCCATTCCTTGGAATG